GTATTGGTGCACGAACCCCTCTGGTGCACTCGCCACCGGACGCTCTGTATCCTGCTCTTGTAAGATTTCATAGCACTCAACCACCGCGTAGATCTCTTCAATGTCCGCATCGGGCGCAAACTTGCGCATGATACGCTCGCCGGACGGGAGCCGCACGCTAATACGGACGGTGTCCTTAACATCTGGTCCGGGCTCCGCGCTAAGCGTTTGCCCGCGCCAAAGCTTCCACTGGGCGAGATTGCGGCGCCTCTGCTCCTCAGCCGCCTGTCGGCCAGCGGCTTCCTGTTCTTCGCGTTGACGTTCCATCTCCGCTTCCCGGCGCTGGCGCGCCCGTTCACGGTCGATCGCCAGCGACCGCTCGTAGGCTGAGTCTTGCTCTTCGCGAAGGCTGCGCGAGGCTTGTTGCTCGGCACGTGAAGATCGGAGACGCTCTAGAGGCTCGCTATTAGATGTCACGACTGTCCGGAGCTTGTTCACGACCTCGGATGGCGTAGTGAGACCTGCGATCCGTCCTACCACGGACATGGCGGTTGACGAAACATTGGGGGTATGGACTATGACCGCTGAAAAGGGGAATTTGGTGCATTTCAGTGAGTTGGCGACTTGGTATGCTTCGGAATCTTGCACATTGCCACCCCACACTAGGAGGTTGTTCTGGGGGTCGTTGATGAATTCCACGACCTCAGGTGCCAGCAGGGTATCACGGACCCAGCTGTTCGTATCGTCGTGCTCTAGAGACAAAAGAATGACCACGAGGTACTTCAAGTCGCGATGGGCTTTCTCCAGCGCCATGTTGTATCCGTTCTCCAGGAACGGTATTGGGTTTGATTCATATTCTTCCTCAAACTCGCGGATAAAGCGAGCGGCGGTATCCTTGGGGCCGAGAGATCGACGGCCAGTGGTATTCCGGCGAGCACCTTGCAGCGCGGGGTTCGCCGTCCTGTTGAACAAGCGTGGCAAGAAAGGGAAGAGGACACCAAAGAGGCGGAATGAACTGCAGAGAAGCCGATACACTAAATTAAATGGCGTGAGAAGTAGACTAAGAATGAATGGAGGCCGGTAGGTTGGCTGGTCTCCTGGTTGCGTGTCAACTCGTGGAGCCAGATCTGTAGCTGTGGCACGAGTAACTCGCGACAAGTGTTCGGTCAAATCGTCGGTCATTAGATTCTGGGTTCGGCGGTTGGGTTGTGGTAGGGGCGGGCGATCCATGGCAGCGCGAGCTTCTTCAAGGGGATCTGGGCCTTCACCATCAAAGAACTTGGATATGGCAATCTATCATGCGGAGATCAGTTAGTCTCTTGTACACTTGGACAGAAGCTGGGGAAGATAGACCAACCTGCAGATTCCATTGCGACCGGCGTAGTAGGGGAATTGCCTCTGAAGGTTCCTGGCTGGTAACAGCCATATACATCTCTAGCGTAGACTTCTCGCTATCGGAAAGCTGGTCCAGGTCAACCTCCGGTTGTGACATCTTGCTGTATCAGGGCCGTGGGCCATAAACTCAGGAATGTGGGAGGTATCAAGAGAAAAAGAAATGAACAGCCATAAAGAGGAAGATCATCTAGGGATGGTCATTGAGCACGTGCAGATAGTCCACTACATAGATGGTAAGAACGACGTGACGTCGAAGCTCAAGTGGCCTCAACGGAAGCTCTCATTGATGTTCTGACCGCCTGGTCCGTGCGCAGATCCCCCTTCACTCGAGTTCGTTTCTCGCCCCGCGTCTCCATTTCCATCAGTTCTGTCGCTCTCAATCATTCCTTGGGATGAGAGACGACTTTGGTCTTATCCTTACATTCCATTCATGCCTATTGTTATCGGTTGAGATACCGCCCAACGTCCGTGGGCTCTCCCGGAATTGATCCGCCGCCAATCGCATAGACCATTGGCGACTTGAATTTATATGAGATCAAAGCTGGGGAATGTGGTTTTCACCCAATAGCATCCTTTGACCTCTACCGAGTCCGGTTTCAATGGGGATCTTTTTGCGCTGATCCGCACCATAAAGTGGGTATCAGCCAGATATCATGGCGTCTGCCGGAAAGCCTCCATTGGAGGATGCTCGTCGGACGACAGGATCACCGAAAATGAAGAGCCGCGGTGAGTGTGACTTAAAGTCAAAGGCTGGCACATCACTTCCATTTCAAGTCTGAGATGTAAAAGCCGAAGATAAATGCTGAATTGGAGACGGACGAAGTTGCTGACAACCATGATTTTGCTTGCTAGAGAATGCGAAAGACACATTGTGCCGCAACGTGACCATCTATGGGCGATGCCGCTATGAAGACAAAGGTATTGGCGAACCTTGATCACGGCCAGCGTGTGTGGTGAAGCTGATTTGGAACTCTTGTATCCAGGTTGTGCTTTCAATCATGACCCGACGAAGCTCAATACAAATCAGTCGGACAGGTGCGATGCAAACTTGGTCTTTTAGACGAAAATGGCAGAGTTTTCGCTAACAAGGACTGTCTCATTTGATAGCAAGAAGCGGTTCAATGTCGACTCACCTAGTTTCACCCCATCCCTGCTGTCCGGGAATGGTGTATCAGCACCAAAAAAGTCCACCGCTATATCTCCGAAAGCTGCTAGTGCAGCTCCTTTCCAACCTCGAACAACCTCATCACGTATGTACTATGTGTGAAGATGAAGAAAGGTTGCAAGGGCATATACTGACGTTATAAAAAGGATCAAACACGAGCACGCCAACAACGCGGTCAGAAGCAGTCCAAGATTGGGCGGTAGCCGATGTGCAGGAGTTTGTTCCTCAGGGCTTTGAGCACGTGGTCAGTCGTCCCTACCCTATTATGCGATTCCCTTCACGCATTGATTGCTTCTTGTTTTCTCAACCATCCCAATCTGTCTTTGCACTGGTCATATTATTATCATCATCTCTGTCATCGCGATGGCGCAAGGTGGCTTGTCAGCCCTGGCAGAGGAGTTTGATCCTGGGCGTCATCAGACTCCCCGGTACTTCACCTCTCATCTGCCTCAGGCTGACCCTCCTCCGATCTTCAGCGCTGCTCTGTACCGTCGTCGTGCTAATGCTCACAACCAGACACCTCTTCAGGGCAATGGAAATGGAGGGATCACCCCCACGGGTGCATTTGATCCTTTTGTAACTACTCCAACTCCAATGACTCCAGGTGCTGTTGGCCCTGTTTCTACCAATCCTTATTCCCACGACCCTACTGGCGCAATGGGAGGCGCTTTCTTTGCAAACCAAACTGGATTCCAACAACCAGTACGTTGATATCCAATGATTCCTACTCTTTGTTGCTTTGAATGAGCTCTAACCGTCCCAATAGATTCAGTATCATCTTTATGCCCCAATTGGCCCTCACAACCAGAACACATTGGGTTACCAGCGCAACGTGCATGATCTCTTTATCCCCAACGACCTGCGCGAAGAACTGCAGAAAAAATCTGCAGCTACTCTCCAAACTCTCCCTAGTATGTTGGACCGCAATTGAAAATAGTTTGTACTCATTCTGACGAACTTGAAGACACCCAACTTCCTGCCCAGGTCGACTATTTCCATTCCCTTGTCCCTCTGGATCTCAGTCACCAGAAGAATGCTGCGACCTTTGGCTACCCGAGCTGGATCTACAAGGCCCAGTCTAGCAAAGATGGCACCTTTTATGCCCTTCGCAGACTTGAGGGTATGACAATCTCCCCATCTCTTTTGGTTTTTTCTTTTTCTAACTAATCTTAAAAGGTTTCCGCCTGACCAATGAGAAGGCTATCCGTTCTGTGCAAGCCTGGAAGCGCGTCTGCAACGCCAGTGTGGTGACTATTCACGATGCTTTCACCAGCCGCAGCTTCCAAGACAGTTCTCTGATCTTTGTGACCGACTATCACCCGCTGTCCAAGACACTTGCAGACCAACATCTGAACGCTGGAACCCGCTTCCCAGGTCGTCACACCAATGCTCATATTCCTGAGCAAGTTCTCTGGGGCTACATGACCCAGATTGCGAATGGACTCAAGGCGATTCACGCCAATGGTCTTGCGGCCCGAGTGCTTGAGCCTAGCAAGGTTTTGCTTACCGCGAAGACCCGTGTCCGCATCAACGCTTGTGCTATTCTTGACGTGGTGCAGTTTGATACCCAGCGCACTGTGGCCGACCTTCAGCGACAGGATCTAGTCAACTTTGGCCAATTGATTGTCACCCTTGGCGCCAACTCGCCTACTGTCATCCACAACCCGACCAAAGCCATGGAGCATTTCACTCGCTCCTACAGCCCTCAGTTGAAGAGCTCTGTGTTCTGGCTGTTGAACGGACTGCAGAAGGATCAGGAGCGAACCATCGACACTTTTATCACTGGCATCTCATCCCAGCTGATGTCGACCTTTGATTCGGCACTCCACCTGGATGATCAACTGAACTCTGATCTCGGCCGTGAGCTGGAGAATGGGCGAATTGTGCGCCTGATGAGCAAACTCGGGCTCATCAATGAACGCCCTGAATATGAACTTGACCAGCGTTGGTCGGAGAGCGGAGAACGCTACTTCCTGAAGCTTTTCCGCGATTATGTCTTCCACTCAGTGGATAGCCAAGGTGAACCGGTGCTTGATCTTGGCCACGTGCTCACTTGTTTGAACAAGCTCGATGCTGGAACTGACGAGAAGATTCATTTGGTCAGTCGCGACGAGCAGAGTTCCTTCATTGTCAGCTACAAGGAGGTCAAGAAAGCTCTCGAGTCTTCCTTCCAGGCTCTGATGAAGCCGGCTAGACGAATGCACTAGCGAGTCAAACATTCTACATACGGTAATGGTTATGGTTTCTGGCTGCTTGCTATTTCTGACCCCCTGTTCGATGCTCATGTCTCTGGTTTGGCAGACTGTCAACTAGAGGCATTCACTCAGGGATTAACTCAAGGGTTTCATCTTTTGTTTTATTTTTGCAAGCACAGATCTCGCTCGTCACCGCGATTGAAATACAAACATAGGAATGAAGAATTTCAAATTGTTATCTTTGACCGTAAGCCTGTAGACATCTCTCACAGTTGACTACGAGTCCCCCCATAGACACAACCATGCAACCTCTCCACAAGTTCCTCGATCATCAGTTCTTCCCCATCTTCACCTTCATCTTTATCCTGAATATCCCTTGATGGAACCAACACCCGATCCAAAACATGCACCACCCCATCCCTCGCCAACAAATCCAATCGTCCAACCCTACCAAACCCATTAACCCTCAGATCAACCTCCCCAAACTCCATCTTAACATCAACCCTCAAATCCCTGTCCTTCAGCAGAGTCCCAAGCCGCACATTCGCAGACTCCTCCTCTAGTCCACCCTCACCCCCGCCCTTACCCCCATGCCCATCTCCACTTCCATGCCCAGAAAACAACCGATGAGCCTTCCCATTACTACCATACAAGACATCCGAGTACAGCGTCCGATTCGGCACAATATGATACTGCATCAGCGCACGCAAACACCCCTCCCCCTGCCGCGAGAAAAGAAACCGATTAGCACGCTCTCCGAGCCGTCTGAACGCAGCATTCGTAGGCGCGAAGGTTGTCCCGCCCTGTCGCTGTGCCGGATCGAGCTTGGAAGCGAGTTTCGTGCGTTTTAGCGCCAGTGTAAAGATGCCGAAGTCGGCCGGTGCTTTGTGCAGCACTGTGCGTGTTTCTGGGGGTGGGTGCAGCGGGCTGGTTATTATGTGGATTATGCCATTTTTGGTTTTCTAGATGAGATTAGTATATACCTACATGATGTATATGTGCCATACACATTATACGAGGTATATTGATATTGATATTGATGTGTTACTCACCATATCAGCTCCAACTACCCTACTCCTCTCGTTTAACATCACTCTATTATGATGCTCTCGAACAACAATCCTTTGTGGCAAATCCGATTCCAGAGCTGGCTCTGTCAATTTCGTCGGTAGCGTCCCGTGGCCTATGATATGCTGAATGGTAAATCGACCAGGCAGGATGTGATACCGCAGCAAGCTGGACATGAACTTTGGACTGGGACCATTTCGCCGTGGAAGTCCTTCTAGGGCATAGTTCGTCAGCGCGAAGAAAGTGTGGTTTGCCGTCGTGCTGTTCAGGATCTCGATAAGGTCTTTATCCTCGGCGAGGAGCTCAGCGAGTCGAGATGTATACTCGTTTTCTTTGATGAGTTCCCAGGTCGTTTTGTCTGCGTGGCAGAGCGGACCTGGACAGGCATCGATTGGTCGGTGGATTGGATGGTGTCGGTGTCCATCGTGGTCGCCTCTACATTCTCCGTGTCGGGGGTGTGAAGGGTACCGTCTGTGGTCATCGTCATCTCGGTGTCCCGGCCATCCGCCGTGTTCGGGCCTTCTTCCATACCCGGGCCGTTCGTCGTCAGGCCATCCCCCATGTATGGGACGATCACCACCGGGCCATCTCCCGTGCGGATCTTCGTCGTATCCGGGCCAATCACCGTGCCAGGGATACTCATCGTGATCATACCAGTCTCTATTTCTTCCCCACCCTCTATGCTCATCCTGGGAGATGTCCAAAACATCTGCTTTAGACAAATGATCATTCGCGGCTCGAGTCTCAGAGACTATCTCCGCAAGGATACTCTCATCAGGAATGACAAAGGCCGAAGCTAATGAAGCTGTCACAGACAGAAAAAGGTAAGTGGAACGCATAGTGCCGATATCGACAGGGAAATTGGAGCAAAATGGATATACTCAACCAAGTCATGGGGATGTGTCTATATACACATAAAGGCCTACCCCCTCAACTGTCTCGATTTCCGGTTGTACCAGTGGTATAAAACCGACCAACTATATCGGATAGCCTAGATGCAAACTGTTGAGTCCTCGCTCGTCCGGTCGTCGTACGGTGCACAAACTCGAGAGACAACCTGGATCAATAAGAGCAAAGTGATCGTTGAGAAAATGTTACATATTCCAATCAAGGCCAGGAATCGGCGGAATACAGACATGCGGGTTATATTTGGTAGTCTTGGTTCCGGAATTTACTTGCTTCGTTGAGATATTGTATTCATAGATCTTACTTGTAACGAAAACCGGACAGTCTTAGAAGAAATGATAATACTTCCTAGCCAACTCGTACAGAAATATATCAAGTGATATTTCTCATATACACTTTTTTTCTCGTAGCATTTAATCCAGGTCCGGCACAGGCAGCCCATTGACGATCTTGACTTTCCGGCCTAGCTTGTCCAGCGCGACCTTGGAGTTGTGCGCGCGCAACTTGCTCGTCTCTTCGTCGGACACGAGCACAAAGTCATATGTGAGGAGAGGGTGGCCCTCGGGGACGTTATACTTCTTAGCAATCTCTGCGTCGGCCTTTCCAATATCCACAGTCAAGGAATCCTTGACGCCGAAGACTGCATCGGATGTTTCGTAAGGGTCATTGCGAAGGTAGAGAGCACTGAGATCAAGTTAGCATGATATAGTTCACAATTCCCCAAAACGAATCCAACAAAACAATAGCCCAAAACATACGTAATCAAGTGATCATAACCCTCCTTCTCAAACATGAAATGCATATGCGAAGGACGATACGGATGCCGATGCAACTTCTCCAACAACTTCCCAACAGGCCCATCATGCGGAATGGGATACGGCACGGGGGTGATAGCCTTAAACCAAAAGACGCCCGTGCTATCAGAACGCATAATACACCTCCCATCCGGCCCCTCTCTACCGGCATACTGAACATCATAATGGCCCGTAGAATCCGTCTCCCAGATATCAATCTTGACATCGTCGATGGGCAAGCCCTGCAAATCCCGCAGGGTACAAACAACCAACAAGGGCTCTCCTTTAGGATCATGCGACATGGAATCACCGGCAGGCATTTCCTCGGCGTCGTGCGTGTGGAAGGGGCCCAGGACCGTCCCTTCTGTGGATCCCTTGGGCTTTGGGTGGTCGATTGAGTCGACGAGAATGGATAGACCCAGTACGTCGGACAGCAAGATGAATTCCTGTCGCACGTCTGTGCAGATCTGGCCTACTTCTGTCAGGAAGCGGAGACCGGTCATCCATTCGTCGCTGCTGAGACGGGTTTCGCGGGCGAAGTCGTGGAGGTGGGTTACTAGGCGTTCGAGGACGTATTTCATGCGCTCGTCTTCGCAGAGACTGTTGATTGTGATTACATTGTCGGTGATGTTTTCCACAGTTTGGTCTTTCATCGGGGGGATCTTGACTTTGGAGGGGTCCATGGTGGGTTGTGGGTTGTGGGGTTTGTTTTTTTGGGATGTATAGAGAGGGAAATAGTGAAATTATCAATGGTTTAGAACTATATAGAATCCAGGGTCATGCTGTTTATATGTTATAGGAATCGGTGGGGTGCGGTCAATACTTTCCCCAAGGGGTGACAAAGTTGTATGGTGTCTCGTTCAATCAGATGCTCCCGAATGGAAACCTTTTCACCCCGCAACCCCCACTGATCCACCCCCGTCGGATGTAAAATCGGATCTATATGCCGGGTTTCTTGTGGTTAGTAGAGTACGGAGTAGACTATGGGGAAACCCGACGGATGTATTCAGGGCAGAGTATATATCCGGATATATCAAGCTTCAAATCGCGGGGTAATATATTACTAAGGTAAATTGAATTGATAGAAGTAAACAATAATATTAGTGAAAGTGCGAAGTTTCTAGTGTGTTATAAATTAGAAGAAAATGACGAGAGACCTTATATCCAAACGAGGCACTGGCTCAGGGTATCTATAGATTCTACCGATATCAAGATAGTTATACCTGTGTAGACATGATGGATATCCAGACATAGAGCCATGGCATATCTATATAAAGTGGAAACCTTGTCGGATAGAGATAGATGAAGGCATTTACATGGTCATTCAGAGATAGAAGGTGAGATATGTTTAAATGGAACCTTAAAAGGGAAAAAAAGAACGCTAATCAGGGGGATATCTAACATAGTACTCCCACGCCCAGCCAATTTTGCCAACGGCTATGTGAAAACCCAAAAATATACACAAATCAACAGCAGAGCTTATGCTTTACGCATGCACCATACGCCGGTCACGGTCGCGATCAGCCTCCCGCTCACGTTCACGTTCACGCTCTCGTTCTCGGTCATAAGCACCACCAGAACCTGGAGCCGGGTTTGGAGCCGGGAGAACAATAGCTTGATGTTCCCCGGCGCGCTCCGCACCACGCTCCCTTTCCTGCACAGCGGCAGCAACACGGGTGTGATGATCAACGGTATCCAAAATAGCCTGCCTGAGCCGCTGGTTGGCATCGGGATCATCATCCTCGGAACGATCAAAGACACGACCTGGAGGGAAACGAGGACGGTCCCTCTTCTCCGTCTCACTCGCTGCCCGTCGTGGGGAATTATCACTTGAAGGAAGCTCCATCGGAACCGTAGACCCAGGAGCCAGGTTCGGGGCGGAGGGGGCCGACTCGCGTCGGTTGTGATAGTAGTAGGCTTTCATCTCTGGCTCGAAGGGTGGCTCGCGGGGATGTTCACGCTCAGCGGAGATCGGGGGTAGTGGACCCATACCGAACTGGGGTGGAGTGAGATTTGCGCTGGAGCGGTCGTTGTCGGGACGCTCGTGGGATGTCGTTGATGTGGTTATTCCCGCCCGCATTGCGATAACTTCATCTTCTTTGACGTCGCGCCAGGAGCACTTGGCGTGTTTCTTTGTGCAACCAACGCAGGCTGTGAGGTTCTTGAGACAGTCCATGTGGAGACGACGACAGCGATCGCAGGGTGGGATTACGCGCTCGCCGCGCTGGAGCTCCTCCATGCGGGCTATCATTTCTAGCTTGAAGGGGCCTCCGTCGTCTTTTTCTTGGTGGATTGATTTTGGCGGCGGGAGGAGGGATGATGGGGTGCTTGGGATGGCGACTGCGGTTGTGGTCGGGGTTGTGGTTGCGGTTGCGGCTGGCGTTGCCGTTGCCGTTACCGTTACAGGATTGTAGAGACTGTAGTCTGCTGGGTCGGAGGCACGAGGCCGGGGGAGTGGTTGGGGGTTGACGGGGGCTGTTGCATCATCATAGCCGCGGGCGTGGCGGTCAGCTGTTGTGAAAAACCTCTTCATCAAGTCTGCACGGGTTGTTGGGGAGGCACCTTTGATCGATTGTCCGTTGATCATGGTGACATTATCGGTGGATTGTGAGAACATGAATTGGGTGGATAGAGGGTTCTGGTTCTCTTCGGTGTGCTCGCCTTCAGGACGATGAGTGTTGACAGCGACAAAACCAGACGGAGAAGGGTGCGATGATGCATGGCCATTTCCTGGGCCATGACCGTTGGCATCGCGCCAGATTTCGGTGACATTTCGAGATTGCCCATGTAGAGAAGCATCGTTCTCTCGTCGGGTGACAATAGCATTGCGGCGGTTCTTCAAACGATGGTTAAGCTGTCTCGCTCGGGCAGAGACTAAACACACAAAGATTGTCAGTGAACGCCTTCTAAGTTAATACGTGTATATAGTGATTCCTTACCTTGATCGGCCATCTGAATTATGTGATGCAAGTTCTTCTCAAGAATCTCCAGCGCGCCTAACTCCTTTTCCTCGTCCTCAATGATAGGCTGAGGTGGGATCATCTTTTGCGGCATACCGGACGCAATCAAAACGAAATCCTCCTCGCTGATTTCTACGCGGCACTGCTTGGTATAGAACTGGCAAACTCGTACACCATTGCGCGACTTCTCCAGATTGAACTGCTCGGGCTTGCTCTTTGCGAATTCAACCACATCGAGCCAAGTCACCGTAGGTCCGTCTTTGCCATGGGATTTCAACACTTGCGGTGGTCCATCGAACAGACGCTCGAATCGCTTGATCAAGATTGGACCGAGCGGGCATGCGCCCAGATTTCCGGCGATGCTCTCGTGGCGGTGTAAAACGCCGTCATATTCGCCGAGCAGATGGATGATCGCAGGCATGGTATCATCGACGGAGACGAGGGGTAGGTTGTCAGGGTATTGCCGTGCCAGATAGTTTATCTGTAGGTGGTTCGAGTGCGTCTTGGGCATTTTGGACACGCCATGATCGGCGGTGGGAGACCTCGGCCGTTTGTGAGACGACTCCGCTGTCGGGGGGTGGGCTTCCATTGTGAGTAGTGGAAGAAACCCCTAAATACACCCTGGAGCTGGTTTGGGATAGGGAAAGAGATTGGAGATTGGGAGGCAAGAGAGAGAGGAAGTCGCGGAGAGTGTTCAGATAAGAGCGCGAAGTATAAAACTTGCGCGGAAATGGACCGGACTTGCGCGGAGAGAAACCGGCAGGTAACTCCTTTTAAATGACTCAAGCAACATCCATGAAGGTGAAGGAAAGGAGAAAAAGTGGTCGACTACAGAGGGGAGGAACAACGGGGAGTGGAGAGGAAAAACGTGATCTGTGTTTCCGTTGGGAGCCCGGGAACTCGGAGTATTTGTTATTTTTATTTTTTTAATTATTTTCTCTTGACGAATAGTGTCACAGCAGAAATTACGAGTACAACTTGCGCAATGTGAGGAACTTCCACTTAAAAGTACCTGCCCACCTTTTGGAGCCCTCGGCGGAGTCCCGCCGGAGGGTTCCGCTGGCCTACGATACGCTGACCCGTACAGCAGTTACGCCTTGCTTATCCATAGTTTCACTTATCTAGTTAGTTAGTTGGGTACATAAGAAAAGAATAAGATGAGCTCATTTTATAGGTTCATTTTTAATCTATCCCCAAAATTAAGCCTTGAGCCTTGTGGATCTAATTGTGTCTTTGGTTTCGCTGATGCCTGAACGGGCCAGCGGGCTGAAACATTTTGGTCCCGGGGAGCTCGGAGGAAATTACCATAATAATTTGGCCTAAGATCAGACTACTTGAGGGAAATAACAAAGAGATACAATAAATAGCGCATATACATATACAATAAAGTACAATCAGGTCCAATCAAGTCCAATCAATTACAATTGAAATGAGAAAGGAATGTCAAAAAGCAGAAAATCAAGATACCCGTAATCCACCTGTAAAATACCTCCGAGCGGGATCCTTCGTGACTATCAAATGCAATAATACAATGGTAATTGGTAATCTCCATACCGAGGCGGACTCCAACACCCATGGCCTGAGGCCACAATCTCAACCTAAAAATCCCTCATATACGCGCCCACCTTGCTTGTGCCTTCCGCTATCATCCCCTCCCCATACACAGAGATACAGAGATACCCTAAGTCTGTATTCCTCGGACCCAATCTCGCTTCCCTCGTTTAATCTCTTCCTTCCTTTTTTTCTAAATCCCTCAATTACACAGACCATGTCTGAACGAGGCTCATTCCGAGGCGGTCGCGGTCGTGGAGGCCGCGGCGGCCAGGGCCAGCAGAAAAGTGGCGGTGGTGGCGGTGCACAGGAGAAGCCCAAAAAGGAAAACATCTTGGATCTCAACAAGTACATGGACAAGGAGGTTCAAGTGAAGTTCAATGGTGGTCGTGAGGGTATGTTGGATTGATACCTTTTCATACATTCCTTTTTATATTTGCTTTTTATTCTGAACTTGGTCTTTGACCTCTCATCGTCGTCTATGAACTATACATGCTAACTCTACACAGTCACCGGTACCCTCAAGGGTTACGACCAGCTGATGAACCTGGTTCTCGACAATGTGAAGGAAACCATGCGCGGTAAGTTCCAAGTTTCTTACTGGAATTCAATCTCTATATCTCTGCTTCTTATATACTAACGTCCACAGATGAGGAGGGTAACACTACCACCCGCTCAATGGGTCTGATCGTCGCCCGTGGTACTTTGATCGTACTGATCTCCCCTGCCGACGGCAGCGAGGAGATCCCCAACCCTTTCTTGCAAGCAGAAGAGTAAAAACAAAATCCTCTCTCTCTGACGTATTATCTTCTCTCCGGGTTTCATTTCATTCCGGATCTAGATGTCATTTTGGGAAATGAACATCCTAGATCTAGTTGAAGTCTCAAAACACTACACACCTTAATGTCCCACTGGCTTTCGGCGTGCGCCGGAACATACGCTCATCAGTAGCTACGAAGGGAACGAACGCAATATGATGGTTTCGCTTTTTTTCTTTCCTGTCGACTTGGAATGTGCATGGTAGGACTACTACTGTTGTGGTGCAGTTCTGTCTTTCATCTCTCTTTTTCTTTTCATGGAAGGAGATGATGAATTTGGGGATCGGCTTATGATACATAGCGCCAAAACCAAACTAGGATATAACCAAAAAAAATTAACAAAGTCAACATGAAAGGTATTCAAGCAAACTGCGTAGGTATCATAGATTAAAAGCCAACATGACATATTCACATACTATCCTGTACACTCCCCCTGATCATCGATCTACTGGTCCACTTCCCCAGATGTAGGCCCCACCGTCTCTCCAAACTCAGCGGAGTCATCGGAAGCATCATCACCGTGGTCATCAGTTGGCAAGGAAACCTGCCGCGGCCCTGCATCCTTCAACCTTCTTACACCCTCTGCCTCCTCGACCCATGGTCCAACCTTCTCCATGCTATCGATGTACTCAGCACCAATGCGCAGATTCAGACCCGCGCTAAGGGCACGCTCGATGCGGGTCTCGCGAGTCTGAGACACGAGGGTGCGGAAAACGTGCACGAAGAAGCCGCCGAGAATATCAACGCTCCAGTCCTCCGGAACAAGATCGAGGACTTCACGGACATCGAACCAGGCCGCGAAGCGCGCGAGGAGATCGCTTGTGCGCTCGATTCGGTCTGACAGGTCCTCAATGTGCAGGAATTCGTCGAGCAGGTGGCGAAAGAGCGTTCTCTGTAGGGTATAGTCTGCTAGGTCTGGTGGGGTGCCTGTTGAAGAGGACGAAGAGCTGCGCGGGCCACCAAAGAGACAGTAGCGGATTGCGGAGTCGTAGTCGCCAAGCCCATGTGTGAGGAGACGGAGAGCCGGGCCGTGGTGGCCCTGCAGGCCGTCGAGGATAATGCATTCCGAGACTAGCTCGTTCTGGAATGGCTCGATGCGGGTGAGGACGTTGGGGATTGAGTAGCTGATTCCTGTTGGGAGGGGTTGGGAGGTGAACTGGGAGCTGGAGATTCCACCCAGCAGCTGAAGTAACCGGAGTCGGGACTGCCACCAGGGCTCTGTGGGGGTGTTCTCAATTATGAAGTTTAAGTATGTCGGTTTGGGGGCACGCAGGGCTCGGTAGGTGGAGTAGGAGTCGGCCAAAGAAGTTCGTGCTTCGGGGGATGACTCGAGCACGGATAGGACCGTGTCTAAGTAATATGATATCAGGTCGTCGGCATATTGCGTGTACTGTATTCACAGGTTAGTTGGATATTCATGGAACAAGACAACAGGACGTCTCACATTCTTTGCAAATACCAGGTGCTCTAGGTAGACCTGGACCGCGTTTGGAGCTCGCTCCTTGAGTAAAGTAACAACATCCGCCGGTTCCAGTCTGACACGACTGGCATTATCTGCGAATACCTGGATGCCCAGATTTGGGTTTCGCCCAGCCAGCCAAGAGCCATACTCTTCAACCAGCTGGACGTCCTTGATCTTGACTAAGTACCTGCGCATCTGCATCTCCACGCCATTTGCGGAAACCTCTCCGCCAGCGTCAGTTTCCCCATCAACGATTCGTCGCCAGGTTTTGAGGACATTTCGAGACATCTTTTGGCTTTGGTACAAACGGCTTAGCACGTAGAGCCGCTTGTATGTTTCCAGTAGCATCACTGCTCGGTCGAAATTGCCTTTCCAATTGTCGACAAGCCTATTCAACTCAGGGCGGATTGGCGATGCTGCCCGCTGATCTCGTGTCAAGTAGGCATCTTGTTCCAAGGTCAGGTGCAACAGCGCGGCATCTGTGCTATCCAAAACAAATGTCTCATCGGTGATACTACCATATCCCCGCTTCTGCTGCCAGGATAGAAGGAACCGTTTCACCATGTTAAGAACAGGGCTGCGAGAAGCATCCAAACCAGAGGATTCAACGCCTATCTTTCCGACCTGTTCAATATACTTTTGCACCATGCTTGCCAGCCCAGCGTGTATCCATATACCCTGAGGCCCCTGCAAAACCTCGCATCGCAGCAGAGGGATAAAAAGCAACGCCAAGCGCGGGTCGAGGTTACCTGCCAGTAGCGCTTTTTCGGTGCCATCAATTGCTGCGGTATTGCGGTCGTTTGACTGCATGGAGAGAAGGTCTCCATAAAGCATAAGGCTAGCCTTTTGCTTTACATAGCTCAATCCAATGAATTCAGCCTCGGTCTTTGGCTCCGTGTCCTGGACGGAGAGCAGGAGATCCAGAATGACATCCCTACGCAGCACTGTGTGCTCGCTCTCATCCGTCTCCTGGGCCCTCTGCAAGGTATTCTCCAGCTGAACTATCAATGGATTCTGCAGTACGCGCCATATTTGAGATCCAGACCACATGACAAGACTGCTTTGGACCTTGCCTAGTCCATGTGCAAATTTTGCTTCTTCGGCATCGCGTTGAGCCTCCCAGCCCTGGCTTGCTGAACCGTCGCTCTTTTTGGATCCGTCCGAGTCGGTCGATTCTTGGGAATCGAACAGCTCTTTCTCCTTCTGGGAGTGCTCGATGGATGCCTGTGTTCTCGAATCTGTCACTGACACATGCGGGGGCAGCGCAGAGGTTTTGAGGCGGACCATCCGCAAGAGCTGCCCGATTTGGTTGAGCCCAAGATGGCTAGGGCTGAGAGTATGTCGGAGGCCAACTTGAGTAGATTGTGTCTCTCCAGGAGACGGTATCTCTAGCCAACTCTTGGTCCGCTCACTCTCCCCTGGGTCGTCGTCCCAACGTTGGATTTCGAGTCTTGTTCGAGACTTTCCAGCGTCTCCATCTTCGTCTTCGATTACAGCAAGAACAAACTCCTCTTTAGCATCTTCACTAGTCTGGAACATTTCATCATGCTCGTTTGTATCAATTACAACCGACTTTGGGAATCTGTGGAAGTTGATTGTACCCCGAACAACTTCACCATCCATGTCGACAAACATTCCAACGCCCGGTTCTGTTTCCTCAGTTCCGGTCACAAGTAGAAACTCAGAAGGTGTTGGGGACACCACATGAGGCTGGAGACGTTTCGAGCCTTGCTTTGTTGGTGGAGGTAGAGGTGGTAA